GCTTGAGGAGAATATGGTGGCCTAGTGGCTTCTTGGAGAGCATTGTGCCTCCAGGCCGCTCTAATGGATACATACCTCCCCTTAAAAGGAGGGAACTTTGGGAACACATCCTTATCTCCACCGATTCCACTTGTGGTTACTTCTAACATTTACCTTGTGCAAGCTTATATCATGTTCTATCTTGTGCTTGCTTGTGTTGTTGTTTTTGTTGTGCTTGTCATATAGGTTGTCCACCTAGTTGTATTTAGACAACCTATTTCGTTGTTAACCCTAATTTGTTAAAAGAAGCTAAAAATTGTTAGTCGACTATTCAGCCCCCTCTAGTCGACTATATCGATCTTCCACTGCTTTATATTGTTATTCATGGTGGGTATACCTCGTGAGAGGGACTATAATGGAGTGTATGAAGTACTGCCGAGAGTCTAGTCCACGAGAATAGGTGGGCATGAGAGCACCTAGCCTCCACCTTACATGCACGACGGGGGCCTAGGGTTTTACAAAGAGGAGATGTGATCTAGGCCGTCGATGACTTATGCGCCTTTCCTCCCCTCCAGGCTCCTCCATGTCGCCAATCACGTGGTGGGCCTTATGGGCCCTTGGGCAGGCCTACTGTCGGGTTCTCCGGAGATGAGCCACCCCCGGTGTGTTACACCGTCAGTGACCATCTAGTACATGAAGAAGTAGCTGTGCAATTTAAGGTGTGTTTGGATTGTGTTTAAAGTGTACCTTAACAAGTTGTTATTCATGGCCGAAAGACTTTCATGTGTTGGATGATGGTTGCCTACCTTTTGGCATGGTAATGCCCCCTTTCAATTTTTCCATGCCAATGCTGGTCAACTTAGGGTAAACAAAAGCCTGACCGAAATTCTAGCTAGCCAATGTTTTGGTAGGACAACCTTATCATAAACCAAAACACATTGTTTGCACCATCAATGAAGGGAGGAGATGATTCATGAGGCTCAAGACCAGAAGCAACTATGACTCTAGGTGAAGGATGCATGCATGTTTGGTTTATGTACATTCTAGACATAGCTTTTTAATTTTGTATGCATGTCAACATTATCTTGCAACGTGATACTCATGTCCACTAAAATAAAAGATTAATAAATTGCTCCTCCTTGGATGGCTACCCATGCTCCATAGCGACCTTGTTTCCTTTCATGCAGATATCGACCAAAAAAGCGCAACCAAAAATTTGGACAAAATACTAGCTAGCCAAATTGTTTGTACGGTTGACTCAAACCAAACATAAATTTTTTTAGGGAAGATGAGAAGACGCAAAGTTTGGCTTTAGGCTATAAGTGCTCCGATCATCTATGCACTTGTGGACAAGTTTGTGATGCACGGGAAGTGATTTTGGTGGATATATCTTAAGTGTATGACATGAATTATGAGGGTGATAATGAACGATCTCGGGCAACCGTGGCCTACAATAAAAGACGCGTTAGGTACGAGCATTGACGTGGTTTAGTAACTGAGCTCAATTGTTTTGTCGCCTTTCTGAGCAACCATGTCTATTAGGTATTAATTCATCTTTGGTTCGCCAAACATCATTTGCCGTTACTAACAAGGGGAAACAAATTGATGGGCGCCTAACTTTAATGGTGCTAAAGCTCAGTCTCGTTAGCATAATAAAAGTAGGTTTGTTATCGGTTAATGAAAGTATCATTGTCTTGATTATAAACACATCAATGAATCGACGACCACCTGCACTTAAGGACAACAATAATGGCTACCCACACGTGCCAAGTCATGAAAATGTTCCAGTTAACCAAATGGATTATTCGAGCAAACCTAGCATTGCTCACTGGTTTAGCCACTGACTCGAGTGCATGCAACACATATTATCGGCCCACGTAATATGTATGACAGCAAAGTACAAAAATAATGATATACATGCTAATACTATGGCAACATGAGGTAAAACATGACATGCACATGGTCATGGCGTTTGATTCATCTCCTCGTTTACTCAGGTATTAACCATTAGGAGGGTCATAACTCATAAGCATCCCACAAGGATTGTGATGCAGATACTCTAGATGGTGTGCTCTTTCTTTTGTAGTTACGGATGGCAAGATATTCATTGAAATTATATACTTGCACTGTTGCACATGAATGGAGATGATGAAGAAGCGATCCATTGATGATGAAGAAAGTTAAGATACACACCCTCAAAAAACATATTCTCCACTTCACAGTTCACACACTTGCAAAAAGGACAAATATGCAACGATGTGAGTGCAAAGGGGAAAACAAACTAAAACTAACAACTTCAGAAACATCAAAAAAGTGTCTCTAGAGGAATATTTACGCTGTTGGATACGATCCACCCCGTCAAACCACGATTGTACTTGGGGCAACATTGTCTTCTTACGAGAGAATCCGTCGGAGGCTCAAAGAAGAGGACCGCGACACTGCTTCAATCAAGAGTTAGTTGGATGCGAGGTTGACATGAAAAAGAAAAGGAGAACTCGATGAAACACGACGCTATGAAAGAGGCTTGTTTTGTGTCACATTACAAATGACTGAAGCCCACCTTAGCCCGCAAATACAAGCCAACACATCTGAAATACCAATGGTAGAAAACCATACACACGAAGCGAATGTTGTTCCCTCGCTAGAGTTGCTATTTTTTGGCTATATATAAATTAAAAATATCAACAGTAAACAAGGTTTTTTTTAACACAATACAGACGCAAACGCTCATATATATGCGCATACACTCACCCCGAGCACTTTCGAGAGACTAAGCTGGCATATCATGTTGAGATTTTACAAAGTTACAGCAGACGCCTCATACTCGACGGGAGCGTCTTCTCCCATTGAACGTGCATCGCCGAAAATCCTAAAATAAATTCAGGACAAATGCGAGCACGTGACTTGAAACCTGATGGTCTGAAGATACCACTGTCTACCTAACCATTCGCACGTTGGTTGACGCAGGTTCGACACCCAACTGTATTCCGACCGAGGGCAACGTAGACTCGAGGACTTATCGCATCGGCGATATTTATCGATGGGGTAGGAAAAGATCGCGTATTCAGGGAAGCACATTAATACTGGGGTATACGCTTTAAATGCCGTATTCTTTTTCGTATTTATAAATCGCTGGAAGGTGGCCCAGGTCGGGGCCAGTCCCAGTTCCATCAGAGCCCCGAGCCCCGACCGACCGAGACCCGACGCCCTCACGCCCGACTCGCGGCTCCCAACCGCAGCGAGCGAGTCGTCCCTCTCCTCTCGCCGCCCCGCTCCCCTCCCCTCCGCTAGGGTTCCCC